CCCCCCTCAATGCAACAAAGAGCCTTAGAGAACTAGCAAACGAACATTAAAAACACTTGGTGTCCTGCAGAGCACACTCCTGCCAACTAGGATATAAAAGAAACCTAACCATACCATTACGTTTGCAGGTGTTACATGTACAGCTAGAGAGCAGACTCCTATCAAATGGAGCGCAAAGCAGGGCATGTGGCAAACAGCAGGTGAGACAAGCTGCTCTATCTGCAAACTACTGCCGGGGCCGGCATGTCACTGTACATAGCCAAGGTTCTCCATCTCGCTCCTATACCGCTGTTCCGACACCTTGCTTTTGTGCTGTTTGCTTTCTAAATGTTGCCGGAACTCCATCTCCTCGCTGGCCCCCGCATTACACATGGAGCAGTAGAACTGGCCGCTCGGGGTGACGCACATGGCGAGGTCACGAGGGATGCGCTGGCGCGAACGGGGGTTGAAGTAGGGACCTGCAGAGACAAAGAGTCCGTTCATCTCCGAGCGAGGGGGGCTTGTGTTTCACAGGACCTGTTGGCACTGCTTCCATGCCACACCTGGGAGTGCCACCATGAAGCAGGCCTTGCATTCAAGCTGCCATGAGTGCCCACTCCTACCTTGTAACTTATTGCCATACGCTCAATGCAGCTACACGGCCTCATTTCTAGGGTTTGGCACACAAGGGCAGGTGGGCTTCTTAGCAACACTCCTAGGTGCAGCACAGAGGCAGTGTAGACAGAAGCTAAGGATTATGGGTAAAATGCTCAAAAGCAACTCTGGGTAAAAGCTGTCCTGCAGCTTTAAGTGACTTACGAGCTAAAAGCCCATTTTCAGAAGTGATTAACTGCTCAAGACGGGCTTTACAAAGGTACCCAAGGATCTTTTTGATGGCTGGGTGCCTAACTCCCATTTAAGTCAATGGGGCCCAGGCTCCTAAGCGCCTAGGTCACTTTTGGAAATGGGATTTAAGAGCCTAAGTCACCAAGGACTTCTGCAAAACATCCTGCATCACTGAAGCCCATTTCAGCAGTAGAGGCAGCTTTCTGATCAGAATAACCTCCTGATTTCTTAATTAAAAGTAATTATGATAAGAAGATATTACAAGGAATTATTTTTAAAAAAAAAAAGTGTTCTCTTGTTAACCAACATCATTCCAAAAAGATCAGATTAAGCTACGCCATACCAGGGGAATATGTTTTAGCTAACAAGTGCTTATTACATGATAAATAGCAATGAAAACACAAAAAACTTGGGCCACACACTACTCTAAATGGTCTGATACAAGACTAAGGGGCTGACTCTCCCCTTGTTTGGGCAGGGTCCAGGGACAAACTCAAGCAGCTATAGGAATCCTTCTTTCTGCTGCCCAATGGGGCATGCCATGCTGGGAATCATCAGAACTCAGATCTGCTTTGGCTACTTCTCCTCGTGTCCTTGAGCTACCTTTTTTTACTTCCAGTCTGCTATCAACATACCCCATCTACCCACAGAAGGTTTCCACTGTCCCTGCTTTGCCGTGCTCTAGATCAGTGGTTCTCACCTGTTTTTGTACCAGGACCCATTTGTAAACATTGATGGCCAGTCCTGACCCAGTGCTCCTCACTCCTGTCCTGCTGCCCCCCAGAACCCCCTCCCATCCTAGTGTGTGGGGCAGGGGCTGGGTATATGGGGCATAGGGGGCCCCAAGCAGCCCCTCGCAGGCTGGAGCTCTGCTAGCCTACAAGGGAAAAGCCATAGTTTCCCACATTTTCTCCCTTAAAAGGAGAACCCATTTTTGAAGTTTGCTGATCCATTTTTAAAGTTTGCTCACGACCCTTTCATATATCTTGTGA